TTCTAGGTCCATCCCTAAACAAGAGGGTAGTGTTGATCTCTTGGTGACACAGTATGCATTGTTCAAAGAGCGTGGGTATATACCAATAACTTTTTATATTTCAATACTAATTAAAATACCATAATGCCTTGATAAAACAATTAATAAAAAAAAAACAACTCGGAAAGAAAAAAAATGACCCTGGAATGATTTTTTTTCTACTTTAAAAACATTCAAGTAATTTTATTGTGTATTCAAGAGTGAAAAACCAAACCTAGCACTAGACGCCAAGCATATATTTTATTTTACTTTTAATGGTATTTTAATAGTTTTATTATTCATAAAAAAACAAAAAAACTGTATTACCATTATTAACCACACCAATCTAAATATTATTTAATTGAGGATTAAAAATATAATTTTATCATTGTAATATGCAATGCAATAAAATGAGTCTAATTAATTAGTCTGTAGTAATAGTGAAAACAATATCTATACCCCTTTTTTTCAGTTTATTTTGTCATACATACATAAATAATCATGGAAATGAAAATTTTACAATTTCTATTAAAAGAAATTATAGGAATCGAGACGTCTAGTATCTCATGTCTAGAGTCATCGCACCCTCATGCTTTGGGGATTACACGGAAATTAGTTAATTAATTAATTTCCCCATACACAATTAATTTCTCTTAATTGAAAAATGGCAGACTAATAAACTCTCAAACTCTTATACTATATATACACAGTCCTCGACGAAGCCAGGGAAAGGGCAATCGGCAAACCTGCCAGTATGTTATTCCCCCCTAATTACCTTGAAAACAGCAAAGTTTAGAGTATATTAATTATAGTACATCAATTGCAGTAGACATGGGAATTTTCTCTTTTCTTTTCTCCTTTTTTACCCGATTTGTTAAAGCAAGAATTTAATATAGTGGCTCAAAGAAACATGAGCATGTCAGAGAGGCATGTAAAATACCATCGGAGGAGATACAGACAACAGTATACACATGAATCCAAAGTAAAGTTTTTGCGCAGGTTAGGTTAGGTTACGATGTCTCAACTATTTTTTTTTTTTATGAGGAAAAAACAATATTGTTAGTTATTATATAATCCTTTTTTAATATTTAATAACAGTGGCGTGTGCCATGCACGGGGGGGTGTAGTGGATCACATGCAATAATATTGGAGTATATGTTTGATCTGATTTCAATATTTTATGAGAATGCTCCTCTCTTTTCTTTGCTGTAGTGTTTTCTCTTGGTCTAGAATCTTTTTCGTCTAGCTTAACCAACTAATCATGGAAGCTCACATATCTAGTTCTGATCCATTGCAATTACTTAGGTGAAGCTGTGAAGGAATGTCTGAAGAGAACACTTTTTTTTTGTTCTTTTCCTTCCCAGAAGCACCCATTTTTTACATTTGTTGCGACCTACCCTATCACCACTTGTATGAATACGCTAGGGTGATTGTGTCCAAATAAGAGCATGCATGTGGTGAAGTAAGAAAATTCCTTGTCAACTAGCTAGTAATATATAATTTATTTAATATATTATGGTATATTAATATGAGTATTAAATTATCCATGTTAATGAATCATAGTTTTATTTTCCTATAATTAATAGGCGAGGTGATATATCAAATAATAAAGCTAGTGCCAAAATAAGGCAACTAGCAAGAAAGTGTACAAAGAGACATATATACAAACAGAGAAACTAATTAAAAAGAGGCTATAGACTATAGTTCAAAGATATAAAATAGAAGAGCGAAGAAGTACCCGTAGAAGCCAATGATAGGAGGATGCAAGAAGAGGGATGAAATCGAGGCTTGTTAGTCGCAAGCCCGCCTTCAAAACCTCTAATTAAGCAAACCCAATGAATTACACGTTATCAATTGGTATTTTTTTTTTTAAACGAGCATTAATGTTCTTTTTACAGGAGATCTTAAGATTGAGTTTTTCTTTATAGGGAAAAAAAAGAAGATGTTGTCTCATAAAAACCCAATGCACTTAAAAATAAAGCTTATGTCATTAGATAGTTTGTTAATTATTTAGTTTTAGCAATAATATATTCTTTATAGCTAACATGACTGATAGCAATCCAAATTAAAAAAAAATTAATATAAAATTTAAAATAAAATAATAAAATAATAAATCTAATCTGTAAAATTTATGATCTAGGTTAATAAAACTGGTATAGTTACAGGAAAAGAAAAAAATAAAATAAATAAAAAATTTAAAAATAAAATAATTTTTTTTATTTGATTAAAAATATCAATCGGTAAATCAAAGAAATAAAAACACTTGATTACTTGTGTATTAATTCAAATCTTGACCTGTTCAATTGTTGCTGTCACCGTCATGTCTGATAGCTATCCCATCGCATGATGTAGCATTTGGACCCTGCGATCGCTATTATTAACAGTATCGTCAGTTTTATCGTAAAGGTGATTCAAATTCCAGTCCTTTTCATATTTTAGCTGTTCATCGTCGCCGAAGAAAACTATGGTCGATTGTTTGGAAAAAGAAGAAGAAGCATATCTAAAATCACGTGGCCTGATCACAAGTCGGCATTCTCCTTGCTTGAATCAAGGAAAGCTACCCCGTGACCAGCCTTTCTTCAACCCAAGCTAATTTCATATTGTTGATTACAGAACGGAAATGGGTAACAATGGGATTGCATGATTGATGCTTGAGGTTTTGATAATTCGGTTATTTATTTATTATATTTGAATCATGTTCATAATCTAATATATATATGTATGTAATCCTAGATTCTTATCTTGAACAGGGATCATTTTTTTTCTGGAAAATTCTATAGATCAAGTTTTATAACTGGTTGGCTGGCTATGCCCGACGAGCGAAGAAAGGTCTTCAAATTAGAATTAAAAAGATGTTGTATTTTGTAGTTAATTTTGGAATTTTATTTTAATTTTTGTTTTGTGAACATCGATTTAAATCCTTTTAAAATTTTTGTAATTCCTATCTTGAGTATAAATTATTAAAATAAAATTATTGTGATTTCTGTCAAATCCTTTCTTCTAAAAATTGGATCATCTTCCTTCATTGGTTTTTAAAAGTTCCGCCGAGTAAATGATCTCAATAATTAATTAGATTAGAAACAATTGTGACTGTGAAGGTCCCGATCTGACATCACAGGGGTGGTCTACTGAATTGATGAGCAGACAGAGGAAATTAAAATGCTCGGGTGCTGCTGGTAGGGGCCAACCAAGAGTTCATCATCTGCTCGGCTCCATCAGACAGACAACTAGTTCTATGCCACCTCCCTGCCCCATGTTTCTTTTCCAACTCAGTATTCTATCAGGAAAATCTGATGATGACGGTGGATTTCATGAAGAAAACATAAAATGTTACAGGGATAATATAAACCACCGAGTTCTGGCTGGCTTACCACTTGAAAGTATAGTTTTCGAGATAGTATTGGTGGTTGTGTTTTATTTGAGAATATATTACAATATTTTTTAATTTTTTAAAATTTATTTTTAATATATTACATCAAAACAATTTAAAAATTAAATTTAAAATAAAAAATTCAAGATTTTTAAAGGCTCCATGCGGCGTACGCTTAAATTGGGTTAGGTGCGATTTCCGACCTTCCTGCAAACTTGTAAACATGTGGGCTGCAAGGCAGGTCGAAAGAGAGAACTGGACAATAAAGTTGAAAATAACTTGATGGCGCATCTTTGCCTAACTTTTTCGGCTAAAGATTCCATCGAGGGAACAAATACGAGCGTGCAACCAGCCTTAATACATTAGATTCGGTAACTTCATGTGACTGGTGTTGTTAATATAAGTTGTTTTTTTTAAAAAAATTAAAAACATATCTTTTATATTTTATATTTTTAATATCAACACAATAAAATTATTGAAAAGTATTAATTTGATTTTTTCTAAAACAAAAATAATTTTAAAAAGCAAAAGGCATGAAGTTGAAAAAAATTAAGAAGTATTATACAAATAGTTTATTACAACATAAATTATTATTAAAAGAATATATTTTTAAATGGGAAAAAAATGATTACTTAAGATGTAAAAATTATTTTTTAAGTACATTTGATATTGGTGGTGAAAAGAGTGATAGTTAAAATATTAGTAGCGAATTGAAGGAAAATAAAAGATTATTTTAGTGTGTATTATGAGAATAAATTAAAAGAATCGAGGGTTAAATTTAGAGAGTAAAACTCCACCATTTTTAGCCATTTTAAGGATAAATTTAACACTCTCTTGAGAAGTTCCTCTTCTTTACATCCTTGAGATTTTACAAGAATAAAATTTAATCCGTTTACATAATCACCAACTATACCATGAAAAGGGAGAGGGAGAGGGAAATAACCACCAACCATACCTAAGAAAGTGAGAGGGAGAGGAAAAGTAAGAGGTCATCATTGATGATGATATTGGTTGAAAAATATAGTTATCTTTATTTTTTAAATAATTTTTTGTTAAAATATATGTTAATAATATATTTTTTATTTTTTAAAAAATATTTTTAATAATAACACATCAAAATAATTTAAAAATACTAAAATAATATTAGTTTGAAGTAAATAAAAAATAAAAAATAAAAAAAATATTTTTTTTAAAAAATATTTTTAAAATACAAAAATAAACAAATCTGTATGGTACACCATTTGGAGTTGCAGTTTGGCAAGAGGCACTAGCCCACTCGAAAAGTAAAACCTTGAAGATGGAGTTTGGGCCCATCCAGCTTTTTTTTCCCTTTACTTTCAAGTATGTTTTTTTTAATTAAAAAAATATATTAAAATAATTTAATATCATAAAAAAATTATAAAAAATACAAACACACCATACCACTGTACTCGACCAAAAAAACATTTTAAAAAAGGCATTTCGATCGCTTGGAAAACCAACCATGGATGCCAATATTCCTCGAGAAATTGTTCTTCTTGTTGTGATGCCAAATTTCGTGTGTTTCAAAACAAGTCTTGCAGGCCTGCGAGGGCTCCACACAACTGGTGAGAACAGTGGCCCCATTTTGCACTGAATCTTGAGAGGGATTCATTTTTCTCTCCCATGTTCTCTGATAAATTTCTGAGAAATGAGAGTACCTTTCAAGGGCTCTCATCACTATCGACTTCTCTGTTTTGGAGGTAAGAGAAAAATGGGAAGAGAGCAAAAGGCGTGCACAAGAAATCAACAACAGCCAGAAAGCAGTCACATGGAGAAGAAAGCCTCCAACAGGTTATCACTTCCCAGCACCAAGGAGCAGCACCTTTGTTGCTGAATTAACAAAGCATATTTCTGCTAATCTGCGGGCAACACCAAATCGCAGATGGACGTCGTTTTCCAGCTGTTTTTTCATATTTCAATATCCACATGCATCAAGAATGCATGCACCAGATACTGATGCAGTGCCTCCTAGTGAACTACTTGCACGATAACATATTAGTTAATCCATCAAAAATCAGATATTTTTCTGTCAATCGAATGGCCTCAATATCCTCTGTTTCCAACATATATACAAGATATGTACATTATGAATAACTTATGAAATTACAAAATCAAAGAAAATGAAGAAATTTTCTTCCAGTGACTGCACACACAGAATACTAGGACAAGCTATATTCTTGGGAAAACTAATCCTAACCAACACACTAACACTCCTCTCTTTCCTATTGAAAATAAATCATGACTCCCAGGGAAATAAATATGGCTGAAGACTAGAGACATGGAAGATTATTTCCCAGGGATCATCTTCATGCAGAAAAATACACGGGGCAGAATATATATATGAAAAAAATCTAACAAAATTTGTCTCTATGATCTACCCTTTCCCGCAGATGCTTCTCTCTGACTACGGAAGTGACTGAGAAGTTGCTGTGCCTGCATAACACATGCAAACACATATATCATCTAACACATCTATCCATGATCACCATTAAATATCCAAAAACTTCTTGGTCTTCATTACCCTATAGTTGAAATCAAAGCAATGACGTCCTTTCTAGATCAAAATAACAGAATATACTACATGATATAAAGGAAGGGAGCACTTGTGATTTTACCACAAGGGAACATGACCATAATCATCCCGTCATGCTTAGTTTCCTTACGGGCAAAAGGCACCAAGGTGCAGAGTACAAACAAGAAGGAAAAGATGAGATTAGCTGCATACCTTTTCCTTCGCTCTTGGGGTGCCTGATTGGGACAGCGCAACAAGTGGAGGAACAGCCCCTTCTTGCAAAACAAGGGTACAAAACTTGGGACTATTAAGGCACAGCTGCATCAGTATGGAGGCAGCATTCTCCTTTCCTCTTTGAGATCCTGATTCAACAACCTCAACCAGCAATGGGATGCCTCCTGCTTTTGCAATGGCCATGCGACCTTCGCCGATTGTTGATAAGTTTGCAAGAAGAGCGACTGCCTTGTCAACCATCCCCGTGACAGGATCCATCAACTCAACAAGATACTTCACAGCTCCAGCTTGAACTATACGAGCCTTGTTTTCATGAAAGATCGAAAGGTTAAACAAGGTAGTGGCTGCATCCTTTTTTCCTCTTAAAGTCCCAGAGCCAAGAAGATCCACCAAGGCTTTGACTGCACCTGAACGGCCTATTTTGGCTTTGTATTCTTCTAAAACAGAGAGGCTAAATAGAGCGGCTGCAGAATTCTCTCTGGCGCCATCATTTCCTGATCTTAAAACATGAATAATTGGTTCTATTGCTCCTGCTTCTGCAATAATGGCTTTATTCTCTTCATTGATTGAGAGGTTCAACAAGGCTGTGACAGCGTGCTCCTGGGTTAGCTTCACTTCTGAGGACAGCATTGAAAGTAATGGTCTGATAGCACCAGAATGGCCTATAATGATGCGATTCTCAACGTTGTGCTTTGCTAGAAGCCTTAGTTCTTCAGCTGCTTTAGTCTTTACTTCATTTGATTGGCTTTTAAGCCCTTCAACCAACTTCTTGACTTGAGAAGTCTTAGTTAGATCATGAGATCCTGAGTCAGAAAACTGAAGGGAGTTTGTTCTGCTATAGTTATGGCTTCCATTGCTGGCCATATCTACTTGTGTTTTAGGACTGTGAAATTGCATTCCTGATGAGCAGGGAGACGATCCCTTTATGTTATTTGAAGGAGACGCAGCAGGGCATTCAGATGTTATCTCTCCTGACAAGTCATTCACATTGTCATGCTTGGTTGATAGCTTCAACATCTCATCTGATACTGGAGGCACATATTCAATACTGGAAATGGCACTTGAGGTCGATTCACTCCTGCTATGTATATATGAATGTCCATGGGATGGATGTTCAAAGCTTTCAGTCCCCATGACATTATAACGGTTAAATTCTTCACCACTTAACCTGGATGAAACACCAATGACCTTTTTCTCAAATCCATTTCCAACTTCAACAGATGATCTTGACGTAGAATTGCTTCTGTGCAAAGAGCAACGGTTACGAAAACTATCCAAGTGCAATAAATCATGATGTGATGAGGCTAAGACATGATTATTACAGTCAGAGTGGCCTGAAACTCTTACATTGTTTTCCTCACACCAATTTGCTATCATGGCTTTGACAGTGTAATTGGGAATAAAATTTGTATGAGAGAGTGTTTGACGGGTCCTAGGGCAAAAGGTCAGCCCATGATCAAGCCACTTTTGGATGGACACCCTATCATAAGTTTGACCAGAAGCCACGATCACAGGATCTAGCATGAGCTCTAATGATAACGGACATCGAAAGTATGGAGGGATTGGGGCACCACTCTTTGGATCACGGTGCTCAACTTTAAGCAACCAACTACGTATCTGAGTGATGAGATCCACAATTTGGTCAATTTGATACAAGTACCCTTCTGCTTTATTGATATGAACATTTGTCCTCTCCTTTTCCACTGCCACACTTTCTTTCAGGAGTTCCTGATTTGATGTTAAACTAAGTGTCTGGATAAGTTTCATAAGATGATCAGTGCAAGGAACAACATCATCTTTTAGACTTCTCAGAGCCTCTTCTATAATCTCTGTTATTGTTTCATGCTTCAAACCTTTAAGTTCCTGCATACAGTGCTGGAAACATTTTACCAGAAGTCAGTCTCACACAGGATATTTGCATCTAAACAACTAGAAATTCAATCTAGATTAAACAACATACAAAAAAGAGATGAAGTTTCAAAAAATATAAAAGAATGAATTAAAAAGGTCAGTCACTGGGAACTGTTAAGTTACAAAGAAAACAGAATGAAAGAAACAAATTTTCAAACTTTCTCACCTGAACAATAGTTAAACTAGAAGTGGTTGGAGAACCATGCAACAATCTACATAATGCTTGACAAATCTCCAGGGCAGAGCTCTGGATTTTCTTCAATAGGGCTTCACTTTGCTGGACCTATACAGAGAAAAATCCATGTGCCAATTAAGAGTTTGAATCTCAACCATCTCCAGCCATCCCAAACCAGAGATCATGTGTTCGAAAATCCTAAATGGCTACATTAAATTGCCAAGGAAGGGAAAAACAAAGGAAAATTAGAGATCCCCAAACAGTTTCAGGTTGCATTTATTCTTTCAACTTGCAATCCTCACATGATCTTATAGAATTCATTTATGTTGGTTTCTTTGGCATGGGTTAGAAAGAAAATTTCAGACTGACAGTACATCAAGTAACAGAAGACTATTTTTGTATTATTCTTTCAACAAAATATATGAGCTTCCTGATGGAAAAACCACCACATAGTGATAAAGAATACAATATTTTGAACTCCATTCAAAAGCATTACACATTGTATATCTGATCCCGCTAAACACAAACAAGCTGTTAAGAATTACTCACACTGCAAATCCTGCTCATCTGTGGACACCACTTCTCCATAAATTCTCGAGCCTCATTAACGGCAGCATCGAGTTCTTCACACTCTCTACATGGGATTTCATCTGAAGATATGTTGTAATCATCAACTTCATCAAGCACTGGTTTCAAATGCTTTAACATTATAACCATGATCTCGTAATCCTTTTGAATAGGCAAATACTTCTTTGTCTGACATGAAACGAGATGCATGAATCGAGAAATACTGTTGATAAGACATCTTACAGATGACTTTTCCATTGACCTGCTTTACATAAGGCATAACAAAGAGATTGTTGCATTAAAACAAAAGAAGAAGAAAAAAGACTTTTTAATGGAAAAGGAGTTTTCAATGAGACTAGTGTCAAAGCCTGTTACTTTATGACAACAATGATCGGTTTGTGGTTCTCGATCACAAGTTTTTTCATGAAATGTAAACGGGATTTCACACATCGAGACTTGTGTTCTTCATTTCACGAACAGACAAAAAAGTTCATCCAGAAAACACTGAATTTATACAAATCTCTTACCATGTAGACATGTAAATGCCAAGGATGAACGGGCATCAGACCATCAAACATGCATATAAATACAAAAATTATAAACAGCTGGCCTCTAGGGAAGCACCCCCATCAATATTTGGTTGATAATTAATGATCATGTGTGAGCCTAAAGCCTGACAGCAAACTCCACACGCACACAATCAACAAGGTCAGTAAATCTACAAGGTGCAGCACTGCCATGATGCTTGTACCCAAATCAATGAAATGCTTTCCCTCCCAATAAATCGTAAGAAGTTCTACACTCGGTTGGTCCCGGCATTTTACGCACTCTGTTTCCACTTGCCACAAGAGCTCCTATCCTAGGCACCACGACTGTGCACTCAAGTTATCCCATGGGGTCTAAGAAGTGGCATCATTAAACACAATGGAAAGCTATCTCAAAACTCAACGCATCTAAGAAAATTCCCTTCTACAGTGCTCGACACACTGTAGCTTGCTGCTTACTTGAATACAGGGATTTTCCACGGGAACAACAGGATTTATAATTTCAAATGTTGCTGAATGAGCAGAGAACAATCAGCAAGCAAATTATTGGTAAATAAACAGTATTTGTGTCATCTAATCCTACAATAAAAGAAAGATGAGCTTTCAACAAATATTTTAAAAATATGCAAAAAAGTCATTCGCTTGTATTTACTATGGTTTTGACACAAGTAAGACCTTGCCCCTTGATAACAGAAGGTATTTGGTCAATTTACTACTACTACTATTTTTTTTGTAATTTTTTTTCATAATAAGGTGATACCAATTTTATCATATATCCAAACAAAGAAAAAAAAAAAATCTTGACTATTCGTCAAAGCCATTCTATCTTAAGACTATTTCCCTGATTGCCATCAATAAAACAAAAGGTGGAATTCTGTTGATAGCTTTTATACAATGACTATCATTTTCACTATACATTTGGTTGCTAATAAAGCCAGAAGAATTAAAATTTTAAATCTTTGATCTCTGTAAATTCAACATAAAAAAACAAGAACGTCAATTGCTTATAATCTCATAAAACACCATTGATGAAGTAAAACAAAACTGATCACTCTAAATTCAAGACAGAACAACAGGAACCTAATCATACAAGCATCATGTGACCAAGAAGAACGGGAGTCCCATTCACTTCTGGAAATCAAAACAACATAAGATCCACAGTTACTCTTTGCTTCTCAGCTTCCTCAGCAATCTAATATATCTAGCCTCAAATTGGCTAAGAAAAGAACCAGAAAACCAACCCAGCAAAACAATATCAACCCAAAAATACCACCCACTTGTTATATCATAATTTCAAAGAATTTCACACAGCAGCCCACAAGTACACCAAAGCATGAATCCAGAAACAGAGAACGACTGATCACGGCAATACTTCCAAAGAGCACAAATTGTACACGAAAAAGTAACATTTCCTGAGCATTACCTAAACCTTGTGATCAAAAGAATACCTTTATAATCTATATGAGGGGCTCAAGCTGGTGAATTAAGGCATAAAAATCAGATCTTGATGGACACAGACGTGTAACTTGTACAGAAGTTACCAAATATTCATGCTTTATGCCATGAAAAATCAGAGTGGGTAGAGAACTGATGCCCAGCTCTCACAAGTCATAACAAAGCTGCATGAGAAAGAGATTGTGAATAAAAAATGAGGGAAAATAAAAGAAAAGGGTTAAAAAATCGTGGGACCCTTTGTGTTTCTATTATTATTTGTAGGGGCCCCTTATGAGTAGTTGCGGATTTGTTGTGTTTTGTTGGGGAAGAAAAATTAATTAAGAATCATGATGAACAGTGGAGAGAGGGTGATAGAATGAGATTAGTAGTAATGTAATCATGATTAGTTGAGGTTTATATTAGATTAGGAGAAGGTCTATAGGGGAAAGTCTGGGCACCGTTTTTTCTCTCTTTAATTTGCTGACGCAATGACAGAAGCGTCACTGCTATGCAAATGTTATTAAATCCGGTTTGGGTTAATTCAAGAACTTGTTAGAGGCTGTCTTTAAAATAATTTGGATTACTTGTAATTCAATTAAAATGTTATATGAAATTTTTATTTTTTTAAATAAAAAATTAAAATAATATTATTTTAATTAATCCAATTTAAACCATTCAATATATAATTTAAGTTTTAAATCGATTAATAACTTTATGTATTTTGTAGATCAAACCGAGAATAAACCCTTTAATCTTTCATTAGTTTAATTTGCAAATTGTAAATATTAGTTTAATAAAATAAATTCCTTTACATGGTTATCAAAAGTGGGATTGAACCATCTAGGTGGTGGTCAAGTGGTAAGGACTTGAGATTAAGAGGTTTGCTCCCTCTATGGTCTCATATTCGAGTTTTTGGTTGTTCATATGATGGCCACTGGAGGTTTTCATGGTCGTTAACTTTAAGGCCCGTGGGATTAGTCGTGGTGCGCATAAGCTGGCCCGGGCACCCACGTTAATCTAAAAAAAATAAGATTGAAAAAATAAAAAAAATGAAATAATAAAATTTATCTTTTAGGTTAAATTTTGACATCATTGCCGAAGCCAGTAGTTGGATAAGAAAATCTCCTGCTGACCCACTCAACAAGTGACTTGTTGTCTCTTTTAATATCTTAGATACCTACTCGAGTGAAGGAAATAAAATTAGGATTCATTTTAAATATATTCATGGATTGTATATGTAAGCATGTCATCATCTCCTGAGAGCTACATGAATCCCGTGACTGGCAAAAATCCACTCTACATCTGTTTGAATCCTCAAGAAAATTTGCTCTAAGAAATAGACTTGAGTTTTATGATTCGTCTATGCCCTCTCTGTACCAATAAATCCGTTCTTAATAACAAAGAATCCATGGAACCTCGATGCAGCTGCAATGCTATCATGATAACAGGAAAACAGGCACGGGGAGGGACTTGGGCAACCGTTCTGCTCAGCTCATTACATCTTGAAGGTGTCCGTGTCTGTATATTCAAGCTCGACAACTTTCTTGTCCTGCCCTGTCTTAATTACAACGCACCAGCAGTATACTTTCTGTCGCTTGAAGTGTTTTCGCCAACAAATGCCAGCTATAATCTGTAACAGCTATGAACACTATTGGTGCAGGAGGGGAAGCATCATGACTTCTCACATCAAACCAGAGGCATATTTCCTTTCTATTAGGTTTACAATAAAGCTCATTCAAGTATTGGTGTGACACCACATACAGTAAAAAAAGATAGCATCCAATACTAAAAATGTTCTTTCGTGCTGAGGCTAACAACCATGATATTAGACTGAGTACTGACTCTGTTTGGAGACTGTTTTCCGCCATTTAAACTCGCAACTCCTTTCCAGAAGAAAAACTACTAAATTTTCCAATGGTGGACAGTCATCCTTAAGAATTTGAGATTTGGGTCAAAGTCTAAGCTCATGATACTCATTTATAGTACGGTGGGAAGTGGTTAAAACTGCATTTTATACTGGTCATAATTTTAAAAATATTTGATTAATCAATATATATTATAGTTCTGAATTGGTTATGAAAAACTATTTTATTACCCAATTACAAAAAATATAATTTATAACTTTTCTTGAATTTATATTTTTAAAAAACATAGCCATAAAAACTAATAACTATAAAAAAAAATTTAAGGGAAGTTATGTTTATCTCATAATTAGTTCTTACTTGATTTTCTGAGATGATATATCTTCTTTTTATGGAAGTAGACTTTTTACCAAGCATTTCTACTCCTAAAAATTGATCGAAAACAGCATAGATTGACGAACCAAAATGTTGAACTCAAAAAAGCTGCTTCTATTCTTTACCCAACTAAGGTCAACAATCCTATCAATTAAACAATACACTTTACTCTCCTCCGTCCAAGCATTAATTTTTTATGTACCGACAAAACTATGTTTTCTGCCGTGTACGCTCTGCAACCTCTTTCAGGGGACATTTTCATCGAGGAATGGATGGTTCCCATGTGGGTTGATGGACATGGGAGATAGGGTTACGGTTCAAAAGGACTCGTATAGATCAGGAGTCTTCCACTCCATCCCAATTTCCACCGAGTTAAAGGTTCTGACAGTAAAATTTCCAACGCTTTGCTTTCTGTGGTGGGCTGGCAGGAGTACTCATGTGAGTGTTCAAGCAAAAAGTAAGTGAATTTCAACTTTCAAGAAATGCTCGCTAACATGTATGGGATTTTGATCAAGTAGGGAACACATGGGCTTTGTTTTCGGAATGGTCCACGTGTCCTAGTAGCTTCTTCACAAGTAGGATGCCATCAACTCAAGATATCCTCAAGGAAAAAACTGCCGGTGGATTGTATATACTCGAGGAAGGAATGAAAGGATACTTGTTCGATTCCTTGTGTCTTTTCAATTCTTTCAATTCCTTGTAAACCACACTTCCTACCTTACATTCTCCAACGAAACATGGTGCAGGAAATCTGGAAAAAGCAAAATATAGAGCCATCACTTGGTATACTTTTCGTGGAAAAATGAAACTGCAACACTTTTCTTTCATTGCGAGGAATGTTCAGTAATCAAACAAACAAATAAAGAAGCAAGAAACCAACCAAAGAAGTATGGATTAAGCTTTCGTGACCTTCAGTTCCAATGTGAGGTGACATGCGATGGTTTGCTTGATGCCACAGATAGCGTAAGTATTCTTGTCATGCTGCTTCTTGCGATGGTTAGCCACAAATGGTCCATTGAGAAACTTCACAAAGCAGAGTTCGATCTTCGGAGTCCATACTGCACTTAGGTTTTCTGTTGACAAGCAAGAATTGCCTCCTTGCATCTTTTTTCCAAATGTAACTAATATATAGAATAAGCTCACGCATGAACATCAAAGACAAATCAATTTGGATTTGTTTGATGAAACATATTATATCTGGCCAACTCTAATATTATAAGCTACTTAGAGCCAATTCAAATTAATAAGAACAAGTTATGATAGCTAATTATTTTGTTTCATTTGACTTTTAATTTATTTATTTTCATTATAAAACAGACATGATTAAATAAAAATTTTAAATAGGATAATACGGTGCAAAATTATGTTTCTTTACCAGTGATAATTAATTGTTGATCCAGCCAGCTCGCAATGTAGCTCGGGCAGAGAGAGAGAGAGAGAGAGAGAGAGCTGCAACCTTGTCCATGTTAACCCAACAAAAGTTTATTTGTAAATTATTTGGCTGGGAAAGAATAAAACACCTGAACCAAGTTTATTGTGTTACCACTCTCCGTGGCAGCAAATATCAAAACGGCCGCAAGAATTATTACTGTGCTTCTGGCGATGTTTCTCCCTCAAGGTATTGAACGACAAATGTATGTGCACACAGCGATAGCAATTTCATAAAGCAGCTTTCCTTTCAAGAAAAGACAAAAAAAAAAGCAGGTTTCCTTTCTTCCTAAGAAAAAAGAAGCAGCAGCAGCAGCTTCGAAACAAATCTTCATCTGCCAGTTGAAAGCATTAGAGAGGATTTGACGGGCTAAAATTATCACCTTACATATAGTCATACAAAGAGAATAAGGAAACAAAATTATATGACAACAAAAGGGACACCTCAAAACTAATCTTCATCTCCTAGTTGAGCTATTGTCACATTGAACTACCACTCAGCAACCCCACCAGTTCGCCTTTCTTCATCTTTGAAAACCCTTTTACCCCGCGAGACTTTGCAAGCGCTCTCAGCTCAGGTAGCTTTAAAGAACTCAAATCCTCATGT